GCTCAGGTTGAGTCCCTGCCTTTACTCCATCACCTTGGCTATGCCTCACTTTATTTTACTCTTACAACATCATAACAACCCTATAAAGTAGGTAAATATACTAAATATTATCATCTGTACTTAACTAAAGAAAAAGGAGAGGCTTTAAAAGGTTAAGTAACTTGCCAATGATTACACTGTAGGCTAATAAATGTTGAGGACAAGATTCAAATAGGCTTCTCAATTCCAAATCAATAGCTCTTTCCAATATACCACATGACAATCTTTGTAGGTCCTAACTACTGTCAAATTAAAATATAACCAGAACCTAAATCACAATTGTGAGGTCTTTCTGTTCTACGAAAAGAAACTGTTTAATACTCAGTTAAGGGTTTTGTTTTGTTTTTAAACACTTTCTGCGATACTCCAACACAATCAAGTAGTAATCCAAGGATGCATCCTAAACAAAAATCTAAAGAATACATACAAAGCTCCAGAGCCAATATGCTCTGGATTGTATACACGGCAGCTCAATTTCATTTATTATAAGATTTCCTTCAGGTATTAGAACAGCCAAGACACCTGTGGGTCTACATAACAACTCCCACCTGTTGCAATGTTGTACTAATATTCTTTGGTTAAATTGTCTAATAAAAATGATAATGATATCAAAATTATTTATATAACTTCATAAAGTACAGCCTGAAGGGTCTCTCATCATCAAAACTTTTCAGATACCAAAAAACAATGATCACAACCTTTGGGACTCGTTCCATAACAGAAACAATTTGTTCTTTCCAGGCAAGTGACAAGAATTAAAATACATATATAAAAAGAAGTCAAGAAAGCAATGTAATGCCATTTAACAAAGCATGGCAATGAGGAGTCAAATAACACAATCTAATCAAGTCAATAACAAAGTTCTAAATTAGTCTATGACTGCTTCATATGGTTTATATTTAAGTAAAGAGCTTATTGTAATACATAAAGACAATTGTATGTCAAACTGTTGCATTTAACAAAAGACTTCATATAACCTATGAGCTAGAAGCGACCATCTATTCCAACTCCCACATATTACAAATGAGAAAGTGGAGTACCACAGAAGCAAAGTGACTTGTCTCTGGTTACAGTGCTGGTTCCATTCAACTCAGTCATGGCCTACAGTCTACAAGGAAGGATATAAAGATGGGGAAAATAGAAACAAACATGAAAAACATACATTTCCCTGAACTCAACGTAACACAAATAAGAAGACCTGCAAACAATGGCCTGAACTCAAAAACTACTGCAGTGCCTTCCTACTCTCAAATTCTGTGATTCAATAAAATGAGTGTGCTATAACGTAGAGTGCGAGAAGGCCAAGATACAAAATGATATCAGCCATTTGAGGATTTCAGTAGAGGATCTGCGGACTAGTCACAGAATTCTACACATGGTTCAGATAAGGTAGTTATTGGTTAACAAGATCGTAGGTTTAGAGCAGAAGAGACTTTAGAAGTCTCAAGACCTCTCATTTCACAGATGATGAAATAGAGTCCTATAAAGGATTTACCCAAGACTTAATAGGACAAAGTTAGGATCTGAAGCCAGGTCCTCTGACTCCAAATCAAGCAAGTGCTAATCACACCACAATGCTGCCATGAAATGGTCATAAAGAAGACTACTCAATTGTTCAGTTTCAAACTTACTATTAGGTTGGTTTTGTTTATCTGTTTATTTGTTTTTTATTCTAAAGTTGGATCTTATATTGGTGGAGTTGTAAAATTATCCAACCATTCTGGAAAACAATTTGAAACTATGCCCAAAGGGATATAAAATTGTGTGCACCCTTTGGTCCAGTAATACCATTGCTAAGTGTATATACCAAAGAGACCCAAAAAAAGGGAAAAGAACCTATTTGTGCAAAAATATTTCTGTGGTGGCAAAGAATTAGAAATTGAAGGGATATCCATCAACTAGGGAATGGCTGAAGCAGTTGTAGATCTGAATGCAACAGAAACACTATTGTGCTACAAGAAATGATGAACAGGATGATTTCAGAAAAACCTGCAAAGACTTACACGAACTGATACAAAGTGAAGTGAGCAGAACCAGGAGAACATTATACAGAGGAACTGCAATATTATATGACGATCAACTGTGAAATGACTTAGCTCTTCTCAGCAACACAACGATCCAAGACAATTCCAAAGGACTCATGATGAAAAATGCTATCCACCTCCAGAGAAAGAACTGATGGGAGTCTGAATGCAAATTAAAACATACTATTTTTCACGGGGGTTTTTTTGGGTCTATGCCTTCTTTCACAATATGACTAACATGGAACTATGTTTTGCATGAATATATACATATGCATATATACATATACATATACAGATATATAGACATAGATATATATTCAATATATAAACTATATTGAATTATTTACTGTCTCAGGGAGAGGGGGGAGGAGAGAAAGGGAGCGAAAGAAATCAGAACTAAAAAATTTTTTAAAATAATGTTTAAAATTGTTCTTACATGTAATTGGGGAAAAATACTATTCAAGATGGAAAAAAATAAAGTTGGATCTTGTAAGTGGAGAGAGTGGACTTACTGCGAAGTGATCGTGGTATAAAAAAAGACATCTGAGAAAGAAATGATCACTATCCTGTGGGAACAATCAAAGAAGACTTCACGGTGGATGATCTAACACCTAAGCTTAAGAAAAATCTTGACAGGTAGAGACATGCAAAAAACACATTTCAGGAATAGAGAACTGCTTACAAAGATCAAAGGATTATACAATTAAAGCTAGAAAGGACATTAGGGATAGTGCAGCACTTTCATTTTGTAAATGAATTAATTGTAGCCCAAAGTCACACAGGTATTAAGCAGCAGAGGCAAGATTTGAGCCCAAGCCTTTTGGCTTTAAACCTAGCAACCTTTCTACTATATCACAAATACATGTTAGGGAAGAATAGCTAATATTCCAATCTGGCTGAAACACAGAATTCAAGGGGCATAACTATGACCAAAATCCTGTTTCATGAATAAGCTGAGGATTCTATTATACCAAGTAAATATTATTTAACTTTTACTATCTCCCAAATAAAACTTTATGTGAACTTTGCTAATAAAATCTTAATCAAAAAATAATGTATGGTATTCAAAAAAAATTAACTTGTTTTCATAATTAAGAATGACTCTAAAAGTTTCATAGTCTAAGAAATGTAATCAGTACTTCCTATAAATAAATGAGTTTTGGAATTAAGGAAGACAAGTAGCAGCAATTTAATGGAATGCTGCTGTGGTTATGCTTAATATTTGTTCCTTTATATATAATGAAGGAAAATATTGTTAAAATAAATAATCATTCTTTCTACATATTTTTATACAGTGCTAAAATATATCATAATCTGAAAACACAGGATAGAATATCATTGTGACCTGAGTCCAAGAGATAATTCAACATGCTGTTATCCCCACTTTATGCAAAATAAAGATCTAAAACCTTTTCTATTTTGAAAGTACAAAGTAATTGAGCCTATCTGGTACCAAAGGTCTGAGTTCCTGGGGTAGCTAGGTGGATAGAGCACCAGCCCTGAAGTCAGGAAGACCTGAGTTCAAATCCAGCCTCAGATCAAACACTGGACACTTATTAGCTGTGTGACCCTGGACAAGTCACTCAACCCCAACTGCCTAAAATTTAAAAAAAAAATTAAAAAACAAAAAACAAAAAAACAAATATACAAAGGTCTGAGTTCCCTAAACCTAATATTAATAGCAGTAAACAGCAGCATACACACCTCTCATTTCAATTAAGGGAACAGTGTTTCTGTACATAGTAGGTGCTTAATAAACCTTTGCTGAAATTAACTGAAGGGCCTCCAAAACTATAATCCCGAGATATGATAAAAATTTCATTTTATCAAGATCAATATACCCAAAAGGCCACTAAATTTAAGGGAAGTAGGTAAGAGGAAGAGAAAGCTTAACTGCCAACCCAAATGATTACAAGCTACAGAAGCATTATTTGGAGCAGGCTGACTGTATAACGGCTTAAATTAATTACTTGTTAACAGTGTCCTCAAAAAATGTGAGGTAAATAGGTTTCACTGAAAACAAGGAATGTCACTGAAAAATGGTCTGTCAAAAACTACCAGATTTTCTGGAATTACTATAAGAACAGAAGTTTCTAATCACAAATTTTGAAACAGCTCTTTCTAGTGTGAACTATACTGATTGTTTCATTATGATCATTCAATATTAAGACTAGAAAACTTCTCAATCAAAAATTTAAGAAGATTACATTTTACTTCTGAACACTGATCAAAACCTTTCAAAATATATGTATACAGGTATTTTAAATCACATTCTTATCTTCAAGCTATGACCACTGTACAAAATGTCTTTAAAGAACTATAAATTCTTTGTGTTATAAAGAACACTAGTTTATAGTTTATAATTAATCATGTAGCTTTTAAAACCTAAGCAGAAAGGGGGTTAGTTAGCAGGTAGGCAAATATAGTACTCAGGCATGCTACTTATATTTTTATTAAAAGATTAGAGTTCTCATGTGACTAGCATGGCACTATGCCATTACAAAGTACTAGGCTGCCAGAGCTGCCAGCATCACTGAAAATGATGGCCAACAAACACCACAGTAAACTTCAAAACTCCTTCCATTACACAGAAAAAAAGCTGGTAAGAGATTTATCTACATGTCAACCTATCAGTGATCATATCAACCAACTTTAGTATTTAAATCACCCAAAGATTTCACAAGGCTAATGTAAATACATGCGAGAAATATATCCCTCTCATGCTGTGTCTCATGCTGTTTTTCAATGCTGATTAGAAAAGGGTAGCAATATTGTTTACACATATATCAAGTGTTCTTTAAAACCTGACTTACCACCCTTTATTATTCTGACTTTTTCATATTTATTAAGGTCTCCAACTAACAAAAATAAAATTAGCTGGAAAAAGATGCTTTTAAGTAGATGTGCCACATGATTAGCAACAACAAATCCACTTACTTTTTTCTCTTTCTCATGATGTTTATCCTGAGAGTGAGAGGAAGAATCACTTAAACTTTGATCATATGACCTATTAGATCCCCGTTTGCTCTTTTTCCAAAAGAGAAACATATATATATATGTATATACATATTTGCATATGTATATAAAATAGTAAAGGAATTATTTTTTTAAAGGCACAAGCCAGTTTAAATGGGAAGTTCATAAAATATCTTAACAGGAAAAATGTCCCAATTTTTCATTCTTCATAATTAGCTTGGACAGCAGTCAAATAATTATCCAAAGCACAGTAAAAGAAAATCTCACCCTGATCTTGAAATATTTTAAATGCCATGGTTTTCATGATAAAGAAAAACATATTTGCTGTTTTAAAATAAATTTACCACATTTTTAATGTCTATTTTGTAAAAGTCTCAACTAAAAGGAAGAAAACACTGTCTTTAAGGCAGCTGCTAAAACTGGAAGAAGTAAATATTTGGAAAATCACTGCATGCCTCCAGACAAAGCATGAGGTCTTCCAATATTATGTTAACAGCAGTGACAAAGACAGTTCTTTAAAATCAGCCTTTACACAATTAATTATTAAGCTACTATTAGGAAATAAGTGAAAAAAGAATGTCAATATCAGACCCATGCATTTACAAGACATTAATAACAGCATAACTAGTAGATAGTAAGAAAAATAGTTTATAGAATACTGAAGCCGTTGCATAAAAAAGGAATAAGGTGAGTACTTTTCTGAGTGATCAAAAGCAATAGGTGTAAAATTAAATAACACTGGCCATAAAAGATGTTGGGAATTATCATGCAAACACACAGCTTAATTTTTTTTAAAAAGCCACACAATTAATAGGGTGTTTGGGACAATATCTTAAATGCCTAGAAAACAGAGAGTTCATTCATATGCAAAACTCCCAAATTCCTTTTATCATTTCTCTTAGAATATTTGACCTTTAAACTTCTAGTTCATACGCTTGTCTATTTCATTAGAACAATACATACAAGTATAAAATATACAATGACAAACATTCTAAATTATTCTAGGTTAGATTCATTAAATGGTATTCTATCTAATGTCTATGATGGGTGTGTGGGTGTGGGTGTGATTTGTTCCTTGCCTCAAATTAAAAATTCCATTACGGAAAAAAAGCACAAACAACAACAAGAAAAACGGGGGGGGGGGGAGAACTAAAGCTCAAAACCATTTTCTACAATTCAGTAAGACTGAGACACTAACAGTTAAGAAACAAAATACACATATATTTGCCCTTGCAAGGAATATCTGAACACAATATGGTCAGCTAATACTTAACCCAATCATCAATGCTTACATAAGAAAGCTCAAATATATTAATTTCAAAACTAATTCCTAAAGGAAATTTAATTAACTTCTCTAACCTAAAACATTTGAACAATAAGAAGCAAATGTACTGATTTGAGTTTCAGTTCTTCTGAAGAAGTAAAATCCACAGAAGTCATGAAACTGGAAGAAGAAAAATTAGTGGCACAAATAACTCATTAAGTAGATAATCTATTCAATTATTTCAACTACATATTGTTTAAAATACTAAAACATAACTGTAATTGTCTCAATTAAAAGAACATCTGCATGTTTAGTTGACAGGTTTTTAAAATACTAGGAAGCGGCATCTTAGAGCAAATTTTCTTCCAAACAAAAACTATCAAAACAAAAATTCATTTGCTATTTTACTTATATAAAAGGAAAAAAAAAAGAAAAACTTTTCCAAACACTACACTTACTCTCAAAACAAAACATTTTAATTTTCATATTAAATTTAAGATAAATTCTTACCAGCTTACTAAAATGGTATTTACAGTAGCCACAGTATTGGACATTATCTGCCCCATTACCTTCTTCTTCACAAAGGAGTCCTGCAAACTGGGCACTGAAAATAAAAGCCAAAAGTATAAAAATCATTCAAACCACAATAATATCCTTATACATCAAATTCTCCTGAAGGCATAAAAGATTTTTAATATATTCCTCCTCTATTCTAGAGATAAAATAATCCCCTTAGTCTACATCTGACGATATGATTCACTTCTGCCATGAACTGAAAAGGCTCTTAAGAAGCTACAGATTTAAAGTTTAAATCCAGCTCTTGCAACTAAAAATATTAAATGCTTACCATACTGTTATAACATCCTTTACCTCCCTTTTCTTGTTTCATTCCCTCTTTCTCTTTCTCCCCTTCTTTCCAATCGCCCACCTCCCGAAAGTCCCAATGATCTCTCTCTCTCTCTCTCTTCAGCGCATCTGTTCTCATCCAAAATATCCACTGATGTTCAGGTTAACAGCTTAGGGTTTAACTTCCTGTAGTTCATAATTGTGCCATTTTCTAGGAAAGTAACCACAGAAAATGGGATGGGATTACTCTATTCATGAATACTTAACACTGTGTTTTTTCTGAAAATGAAAGTTTTTTTGGGGGGGATCTAAGTACATTTAAATTTTATTTTTTTGACATGGTGAAGAAAGTAGCACGAGGGCAAAATCTTTTCACCCCACTGTCCTAACAACAGATGTAGTAACTTTTTGGCTCTGGAAATTTCTTCCAGTGGTCTTTAATGACAGTAATGCAACTTTTGTTTATCTCATCCACCATGCTCTAACACAAAGTATTTATTTAGAAAGCCTAAGTGGAATCCTTAGAAAACATATTTTTCCTAGTTTAACAGCAATGATCAGAAACCACTGTCTAAATTTTATCACATTTAATACAAAGAAAAATTAGGCTTTCTACAGTGAGTATGATGATACTCAGAAACAGTAAAAGCAATGTTGATAATTAAACCACTGAATTAAATTTATCCTTACATAATGTGGTGGAAAGAGTGCTGTGGAAAGTTCTTAAATATGCAATTCTGAAAACACAAAAAGAAAGCACTGTGGTTTGAAGGAAAAGGGGAAATTATCTAAAGAGGTCAACATTAACCAACCAACTTTAAAAGGCATGTACAGAAGACTGAAGAAAGTAGCAAAGGTTGAATATAAAAGCATAGATTGCATCAACCTGTCATGAGTGCTAAAGTTCATTATGAGGTAAGGATATTGAGGAAAGCTAAAGATCACACAGAAAGGGGCTGGGGCGGCAGAAGGAATTTCAAAAGCAGGATAGGATCACTGCTAAGGATGGATAGGAAGATGAAAGATAATAATGAGAAAGCTGACCAACTCTCATTCTACTTGTTTTCTACCAAGGAAAATGATCTTTGGATTTGAAATGAAAGAAAATGGCTACTAGAGACTACTATAATAAGGAAGGATATGGTAAGAAAGCATCTAGATGCCTGATGAGTTCAAGTCACCTCAGCCACATCAACACTTCTGGGTAATAAAACAACAAACAGGTAAGTTTGCTTGCCTAGTGACTGAAAGTGAACTCTGAAAGATTACGGAGAAGGAGATATCATAGGCTGTGGGGAAAACAATACTGTCAAAATTAAAAAAAAAAAAGGAAGACAGTCTAACAACTATAGGTCAACAGATCTGGACCTTGATTTCTGGAAAAATTCTAAATGATAATATTAAAGGAACAGTTAATGAACATACAAGAAAGGAAGATCACAAAAGGCCCACATGGCTTAATAAGAAACAGTTCTATAAGGAAGAGCTTTTATTCAGTCTGGGGAAAACTTGTGGCACGAGTGAACAGTAAAGCGATGCAACATAGGAAAGAACATTAATGAAATATCTAAGATATGTAAAAAGAAAACAGAATAAATTTCAGAAGAGAACATAGACAAGCATAGCAATGTTAGTATCACCACATTAAATTTTGTACATATTTTTTAAATGGGCTATAATAGATGGATAGTTTTATATACCTTTTCTGGCTTTCCTTGAATATGATAATATTCATGTTTGCTGATCATTTTTGAGCTCATGATAAAAAAGTTTTAAAAAATGAACCTTAATACCTTAATACCTTTTCTGAAAGCACTGCTACACTAGTAAATCAGTGGAATGCTTTAGATGAGGGGTTCTCAGTCTTTTTTGTGTTATGGGCTCTTTTTGGAATCTGAAGAAGCCAATGGACCTATTCTCACAATAATGTTCTTAAATGTACAAAACCACATTACATTACAAAATAAATTATACTTAAACAGTTATCAAAATTTAAAAAAAAATTCATGAACCTTAGATTAAGAACTCCTACTTTAGATACAGTTTACTCCAGCAAAGCGTTTGACAATCTCTTATTCATTTCATTTTCACAGAAAAAATGGAGATATGAGTAGATCATAATAAAACTAGGTGAATAATCATTTAATATTTCTATGTCATCAAACAGAAAGAGGAATGGAAATCTCTCTCTGGTTCATTATCGATGCCAACTGTGAAAGAGGTCTTCAATGAAATGCCTTAGAGATCTACAACTAGAAACGGCTATCATGGAATGTGCTGACATTCCATGATGCTGCAATATACATCTGTTGGCACCAATCCAAAGAAAAATCTTAACTTCCCTCCTAATCTCACCTTAGATATTTCCACAAAGTACTATCTCTGGTCTTTACAAATTCTACTTTTAAATTATATTTTATTTTACATGACATTTATATTTAGTAATAATATCAGGCTTTAGAAAATCATCCTGAAAAGTGTATGGATTTTATAAAATATCTTCTGTGGTTTGACATTCCAAACTTCATATCTTGCAAATGTATTTTTGTAGCTTTGAGATTTAGATTGATAACTAGAAGAGCTAGATGCAGACAGGAAATTGAGTATTGAGCCCAAAACTACCTACCTGAGTACTCAAAACTGCAATAAAATAATGATAATAACTTTTACACAAATAGTATGGATATAAAATCCACCTGTTATACTTACTGTGAATAATTTTTCATTATCAAACTTTTTTTTCATAAATTCACTTCCTTACTCCTATGAACTTCAAAATATTAATGTAAAATACTTACCAGGTTACATGGAAAGCTTGTCGACATCCATGCTTATTACATGTCATGCAAGCACCTGTAGCAGCTTTGCTCTCTCTTCCTTGTTCATCACAAATATAGCAAGTCTTTTTAAAAGAAAAAAGAAAATGAGTGCAAAATTGCAGCAAAATATTTCAACAAGAGTCTGGTAAATATTCTTCAAACAGGTTCATTTCATTTTAATCAAGTATTACTTCTTAAATAAAAATTAAATTAGTCAACAATAATATTGTAAAACCTTGACAATTACAGAGCAGCTGTGCTGATTCTTGAGGTAGACAATAAGTGCTTCATCTATTCCAATTTATACCACGGCATACCATGGTATAAATATATACATCAGTACTTTGCTCCACAATTCTCAGAGACTTACCAGAAAGTAATTTTTATTATCTGCATTCCAGGAAATGACATACACAAAGCAAGAATCATTGTGTCTGGGCTTTAGCAAAGCATCTGAAGGTAGCACTAAGAAGAGTGCTGAGTGCTGACATGGCACCTCCTGACTTTAAACTTCTGTTTAAAGTGTCTGAGATGTTCTGAGTCCATTCCACCTAGTAGATTTTTTTCTTTTTGGTGAGGAAATCAGGGTTAAGTGACTTGTCCAGGGTCACCTAGCTAGTAAGTGTCACATGTCTGAGGCCACATTTGAACTCAGATCCTCGTGACTCCAGGGCCAGTGCTCTATCCACTGCGCCACCTAGCTGTCCCCTAATGTTCTTCAAAGCACAGTTCAGACACCACCTTCTTTAAGAGGCTTTTTCTGGTCTGCCACCTTACCCCAAGTATTAGTACTCTCTCCCTCCCAAAATTATTTTACACTGATCTACTCATTTATATAATATCATAAATTGAGAGCTGGAAGGAACCTACAAGGAACCTAAGTGGTCCACTCGTCCAAATCTCTCACAAGGAAAGTAAGAACCAGAGAGGTAACCAATGAAAACACAGGCAATTAGTTTAAGGAAGGATTTGAACAGAATTCCTCTTAACTTCAAAGCTAGTGTTCTTTGTACTACACTACATTGTCTCCTTGTTGTATTCCTCCTATAAAATACAAAAATGCCTTAGGATCAGAGACAGTTTTGTTTTTGTAACTCCAGCACTAGCAGTGTTCTACACACATTAGGAGCTTAAAAAAATTTTACTAAATTGTTTTTACAATTACAGATATGCTTAATAGTGATTGTTAATTCTATTAAAATTGATTAGAAAGGTAAACCTTTGTCAATATATCATTTTGCAAGGAAATTAGGTTTCATTTGTATCATTTCAAGTTGTATTAATTTCTAAAGAAAAACATCCCTAACTTTAGGGCTTGTTCAATACAAGGTTCTCATTATTTTACTTTAGAAAAAACAGCCTAAGTGTGCTAAGTGACTGGCAGTCAACCAAGAATGCCTCACCTGGAATTCTACTCTTTAATTTGTCTCCTGGCGATATCATTTACTCCATTCATAACACATTTATATAGTGCATTAGACCTACACTAAGTACTGATATTTAGTATTTCCACAACCTTAACACAGAAGAAATGGAGGGCTTAAATAACTTGCCAAATTCAAACAGTTGTTAAATGGTGAAGCAGAGACTTCAATCCCAATTTTTTTAGCAACCACAGCAATATACACAGACATAATTATCTTTAAATTATTAAAGTATTAAGTGAATATAATGTGATAAAAGTTTTTCTGGCAACAGATCAGGGACTCAACGTTTTTTGCATCGCGGATCTCTTTAGAAGGAGAATAAAACCTATGGGTCAGAATACTGCTTTAATAAAATTAAAAATTAAATAAATAGGATTACAAAAGACTATATGGACTCAGCAGTGAGTCAACCAATTAGGCAGCAAGAAGAACAAAAAAACAGGCTTAAGGAACAAGACATGGAGATGTGGTTTTGGAAAGAGTTATAAGGAGCACATTTTGAAAGGAGTATTACATGATATAAGCCTTGCATACCTTGCCAACTGTTGCCTCAGGTACCTCAAGTCAAAAATGGATAGCTCAACAATATGGGGTCACTTTTGTTCAAGCATGACAACCTGGCTACCACAATACATTTCATCCTAGAGGCAAGAGAAAGCCACTGGAGTGTGCTGAACAGAATAACATGACCAGATTTGCACTTAAAGAAAATCGATTTGGCCTCTGTGACAGACAGATAAATTGAAGTGGGGAGAGGCTTGAGGCTGGGAGACCGATTAGGAGGCCATAGCAATACTTGAAGGGAGAGGTGAGAACTGATGAGGGCTTGAACTATAATGGTTGAGAATTGAGAGAAGGGTACAGATGAAAGAGCTATTATGAAGACAGAAATGGCAAGGTTTGGCAAATGACTGCAATGTGGGGTGAAGAAAAGTAAGGAGCAGAGGCTAAAGCTGAGGTAACAATCCTGGGAGAGTAAAATAATATTGAGGGTGACCTCAATAAAAATAGTGAATGGACATGGTTTGGTGGCAAAAGATGAGTTCCTGATCAACAGAATGACCACCCATAATTCCAAAGGACTAATGATAAAATATACTATTCATCTCCAGATAGAGAAGTGATAGACTCACAGTCCAAACTATAGCATATTTTCTTTTTTTCTTTTGCACAAGGCTAAAACAAGAAATGTATTTTGTATGATGACACGTATTTGTAATGGAATTTATTCTTCTTGTTTTCTCATTGAGGGTAGGGGAGGAAGGAGGAAGAGAATTGGAAAATAAAAAAAAAATTTAATGAATTTTTTTTTAAAAGATAACAAATTCTGCCTTTAGATGTGTTAAGTTTCAGATGTTTTCAGGACATTCAGTTTGAAACGTCCAACCAATAACTGGTGATATGAAATAGGAACTCAGGAGATGGGTTAGGAATAAATATGCTGATTTGAGCAGAAATAGATACACAGACCAAAGGCAGAGCTAATAATTAAACTTAAGGGAATTAATGAGATCATCAAGAATATAAAGAGAGAAGAGAACCTAGGACTGAGGCTAGGGATATACCTATAATTGGGTAGTGTGATATGGATGAGCTGGCAAAGCATACTGAGAAAAAGTAGCCAGAACAGTAGGAAGAGAAACAGAAAAGAAAACCCAGAGAGGAGAAAGGCTCCATGAAAGTGTAGCCAAAAGAGTCAAATGCAACAGATAGGTGAAGGATGAAGTCTGAAAACAAAATCAAATCCACCAGATCAAGAAATTAAGAGATCACTGGTAACTTTGCAGACGATAGCTTTTTCCAGGATTTTGCATGAGGGATGGGATATCAATATAGCACAATACTGAGAGCTTGAAGGGGACTGTAGAGTCTAAAGATATTTTTTTTAAATGTGGGAAACTGAGTAAAATTGAAGGCAGCATGGATGAAAACAGAAAATATGGGAAATCAGAGTGAAAGGTGACGACTGAGGGAGGCCATCTTCTGGAGGAGAAAAAAGGAGAATCAAAGAGAGGTTTTGCCTTGGCAAGAAGAGCCATACTACATTATTAGAAAATAAAGGAGGAGACAGTGAAGAATGATGTCAAGGTTCCATGGAACACTAAGAAGGAGGAAGTTACCGAGAACGACCTTGATTTTCCTTATAAATTACTAGATAAAATCCTCAACTGGGAATAGGGATTGGATGTTGGGAAGACTGAGGAAAGAAGAAAAGGATTAGAAAAACTGCCACAGGGATAGAGACAGGCAATCAATTAGGTACGAGTAATACTGGAGTGATGGCCTTAAAAATGAATTAACATGAATTTATACCATATCCAATTAGCATAATTGTTTAATTTCCAACAGATAGATTTAGAAGAGGAGGTAGATAAGTAGAAATAATTCAGGACTGAGTCTGAGGAGCAATGAGTAGCAACAGGACAAAAGAGCAAGAGATTCAAGAGTTAAGAATGCCATAGAGTTTAAATTAATGTGGAGGTAAAACAATCCCTATCTTCAAGTGGCTTACATTTTATTGGTCAAGTAAAAACAGATGTTACAGGACATATGAAAAAACCTCATGAACCACTAACTACCAGCACCTTTGCAAAATATCTCTGTATTCTTTCCTTTACAAATAAGCTATGTAAAAAAAAATGACCTCTTATCAAAATGCAGATTGAGACATACATTTTTAGACATGGACAATGTATGAATTTGTTTTGCTTAATTGTGCGCATTTGGTACAAAAGTTTTGTTTTACTTCTTTTCTTTAAGACTGGGATGACATAGGAGCAACTAGGTGGCGCAGTGGATAGAGCACCAACCCTGAAGTCAGGAGAACCTGAGTTCAAATTTGACCTCAGACCAAACATTTGATACTTACTAGCTGTGTGACCCTGGGCAAGTCACTTAACCCCAATTGCCTTTAAAAAAAATTGGATGAGATGGAGGAAGGAAAGAAAATAATGCTTTTTCATTGAAAATTGAAAAACATTATGCTTTCAAGTGTACATGGCTGAGGGGAAAAGGGAAAACGAGAATAGATAAGATCTCTAAGTACATCAGGGCAGCAATAGTTTGAGTTTCAGTCAGCTAAAAAATTCTGAGCCAGGGATACATACATATTTTAGGTATTTTAGGCCAGATGGAAATATGGTTCCCCTCAGAACAGATCTAGCTTTTTATCTAGGACTGGAAAAGTCAAACTTTTCAGTTAAGGAACTAAGACACTTTATTCTAACAAGCACTCTACAATTTTAAAACCAAAAGTTATTAAATTACTGCAAAAAATTCATATAATTATACATATGGTACCTTATTATAACGATCATGTGGAACAGACTGCAATACAATAGGTTCCATTGTAGAAACGTTGGCAAACTGAACCTCAGGAATATACAGGGCACAAACAACATGAGCCCAACCTTAAAAGGAAAGAAAACAAAATACATTAACCTTGGTACCTCATGAAAATGTTTATTTTGTAAATAATAACCACTTTCTTTTTTATTTTTAACTTGTTTTTCATCATCTTCATTAATGAATATATACCTCCCATCTAACCTATCTAAAAAACCACCCCTTATAATAAAAAATATTTGTTTTGAGAGGAGGAAATAGTTAAGCAAAACTAACCAACACATGAACTAAGTCTGAAAGTATGGGTAATATTCAACAACCACAGTGCCAAGTCCTACAAAGGAAGGAAGGTGCATTTTTTCACCTCTTTTTTCAGGGCCAATCATTATCATAGCCAGTGTTTAGTTTCAGGAGGTTTTGTTCTTTCTACATACATTGTTGCTTACGTTGTGCACACTGTTTGCCTGGTTCTACCTATCTGTCTCTATATCAGTTGATTAAAGTCTTTCTAATACTTCTCTGAACTCTTCATACTCATAATTTTAATATTCCATTGTAATCTTGTCCCAAAATTTGTTCACTCTTCAGTCAACAGAAATCTACTTGGCATTCAATTCTTTGTTATGAATATTTCATTAAATATTGAATATTTCTATTTGTCTTTGACCTCCCTAGGATATATAACTAACTAGCAGTAGGTTCTCTGGGTCAAAGATATGAAAATTTTGTTCACCTTCATAATCTAATTGCAAATTTCTTTCCAGAATGGTTGGAACAATTCACAGCTTTCCAAAAAAGTTGAGTAATATGTCAATATTTTCATAACCACTTCAATATTGACAATTCCTGTCTTACGTCATCATCCTCGTCAATTTCCTGGTTATGAGGTATTATATGGATTTCTTATCATTGGTGACTTGCAGTAACTCTCATATGGTCAATAGTTGGTGATTCTTCTTTTGAGAAATGTTTGTTCGTATCCTTTGACCACTTATTCTTTCAGACATGGCTCTCAGTATTATATATTTGTGTTAGTTGCCTTTATGTCATCAGAGATATTTGATGAAAAGATTTTCCCCAATTGAAAGCTTCTCTTAAATTTGCAATGATACTGTTAGTACAAAAACCTCTTAATTTCATGTATTCAAAAGCCATTTCATTTTTTGTGATAAACTATTAATTATCAAACCTCAATACTAAAACCTGTAAACGTTTCAAAAATGACTGCCTATAACTATTTCTAATAACGATGATGGTTAACAATAGCTAGCAGTTATATACCATCTTACGATTTCCAAAGTGCTTTACAAATATAACAACAATAACTAATAATTGCTTTAAGGTAGGCAAAACACTTTACAAATATTATCTCATTTTATACTCACCACTCCGGGAGACAGCTGCTATTATTTCACCTTTTACAGATAAGAAAATGAAGCAGAGAAAAATTAAAGTGACTTGCCCAGGGTGACATAACTAATAAATATGTGAGGTTGGATTTGACCTCAGGTCTTCCTGACTCCAGGTCTAGTGCTCGTACTACTGAGCCACTTAAGATGATTTTATCACTGGATAAAGAATGACAAACTGATGATGACATTTCCAGGCCTACTCTATTAGGCTTAAAAAAGGATTTGTAAAATCCTTGCATATCATAGTTTTGCATATAAGATATACCTTTGCAGGCAGTGAGAAGTTACAATGGAACAGTGAAGTGCTAAGGGTATGGCTCACGTCTAGGCCACCCTCCAACAGCGATTCTACATTGGTTGGTTACAGTACCACTAGTCTTGCTGTAGGCACATAATAATAAATGTGTTTGGTAATGAAAATAATGTAACATTTCCTCAACTAATGAGGAGTACAAAATGAAATGGTTATTCCAAAGTACCAAATTCCCAATTGAACACTTAAGCTTAAACTGGGACTAGTTTGGCCCACAGCTCTTCCTACTAATGAGTGTATTCCCATCACCAGTGGCTGCAGGCAATCTAACATAAGGTAGTGATACTCTGTCTCATCAAGTGACAGCTAGTACTGCAATATTAACAAGAATTCAGGTAACAACTTCCCTCATTGCCCATCCTCATTGCCCATCCTTACACATAGTAACTACTTTCAAAAGTGATAAACATATTAGTCTTTATTAACATTAAGCTTTCAGCAACCTAAGGAAAATAGCATGTATTCTGGGATAGTCAAAGGACAGAACACCTTCCACATATTTTGACCCCTTTTCACTTTTCAAGAAGTACGCAGTATTGAAGAGGTAGTAACAGAGCATTCATAGAGCTGGGAATGAGGAAAGGAATAGAAGATTAGGGAAGTGATATTTAGGAAAAATGGACATATTGAATTCTAGGGAACACTAAAGATTCCCACAAAGTCTGAGGACATAAAGGGGATCCCCAAATATTGAAAAATCAAAAGTTTGAGAATATTTGGATTGCTGGCAGATATCCCTATGTGTTAAACAGTCACAATCTGGTTTGGTCATTTAGGAATAAGTATATAATTATTGTCTAAAATGAAATAATTCCATCATGAAGAAAACACCAATAAAAAGAGAGACATTAAGCAATTAACTGTGCATCTTAGTTGTGAAACCTTGAGTAGTTTTTTTTCATCAATTCCCTTGATATTCTTGAACGTTTGTTCTTTCAGATGAATTTCATCATCATTTTCTAGCTCTACTAAAAAAATTTTTTTTTGGTAGTTTGAGTGGTATGGCAATGTATAAATAAATTAATTCAGGTAAAATTGTCATTTTTATTATATTGGCTCAGCCTACCCATGAACAATAACATTTCTCAATATGTTTAGATCTCCATTTATGTGGAAAATATTTTGTAATGGTTTTCATAAACTCAAAGTATTTTATATTGTCTGCAATTATTTTAAATGGAATTTCTCTTTCCATCTTCCCTTACTGAACTTTGTTGGTAATATACAGAAATACTGAAAATTGATGTGCGGTTATTTTGTATCCTGTAACTTTTGCTTAAGTTAATTATTTCAACTAGCTTTTTAGTTGATTCTCTAAATATACCATCATATCATCTGCAAAGAGTAATAGTTTTGTTTCCTTGCTGCCTATTCTAATTCCTTCAATTTCTTTTTCTTCTTATTGCTACAACTAGCACTTCTGATACGATAACTGAATAACAGTGTTGATAATGGACATCCTTGATTCACCACGACCCTATTAGAAAGGTTTCTAGCTTGCCCATTATAGATAATATTTAATGATGGTTTTAGATACATATCAGTTTAAGGAAAGCTCCTTGGTCTACCTGAAAGCCACGATCAAAAAAAGAGCCTGGCCATTTTTCAAGGAATCATCAAGGAAAACTGCCCTGAGGTCCTAGAACCAGAGGGTGAAAGACATCACAAATTGAAAATGCCAAGGAATATAGTAGCCAAATTCCAGAATTATCAGGTCAAGGAGACAATAATGCAAGCAGCCAGAAAGAAACAATTAAAAACCATGCAACCACAGTCAATATTATGCAGGACCCTGCAGCTTCTACAATAAAAGATCAGCGAGCTTGGAATATGATATCTGTAAGGCAAAGGAACTTGGATTACAACCAAAGATCAACCACTCAACAAAAATGAGCATAATCATTCAGGAGAAGAGATGGACATGCAGTGAAATAGGAGACATCCAAAACTTCTTGATGAAAAGACCAGAGTGCAACAGAAAATCTGATCTTCAAATATAAGATCCAAAAGAGGCATAAAAAGGTAAATGAGAAAAAAAAAACATGTTATTCAATAAGGGTAAACTGTTTAAATCCCTACATGGGAAGATGATACTTGTTAACTCTTGAGAACTGCCTCTTTATTAAAACATTTAGAAGGAGTATACATAGAGGGTGTGTGTATAAGTTAACTTTGATGTGATGATAAAAAATCTAATTGAGTGGTGAAAAGAGATTATACTGGGAGAAGAAGAAAGAGGAGTTAGAAGAGGGTAAATTACATCACATGAAGAGGCCAAAGACTTATTAAAGTAGAAGGAAAGTACAGAGGGAAATGGGCATTGTTTGAACCTTACTCTCATCAGATCTGGCTCAAAGAGGGAATAACATACTCAGTTATGTACAGAAATTTAACTTACCCTATAAAAATTAGGAGGGGAAAGAAGAAAGAAAAGACGGGAGGGAAGAAGTAGTAAGGAAAAAGGGAAAGAAAAGGGAGAGGGCTGATAGAAGGGAGGGCAGAATGAGGGAAGCGGTAGTCTAAAGCAAAACTCAAGTGAGGAGGGAAAGGGAGAAAGGAAATAGAAAAGCATAAACAGGAGGGAGAGGATGAGATGGAGACAAAGACACAAAGAAAGAGTAATCATAACTGTAAATGTGAATGGGACGAACTCTCCCATAAAACGGAAGTGGACAGAGTAGATTAAAAACCAGAATCCTGCAATATGCTGTTTACAAGAAACACATTTGAAGCAGAGGGGATACACACAGAGAAAAGATAAAAGGCTGGAGTAGAATATATTATGCTTCAGCTGAAGTAAAAAAAAAAAAAGCAGAGGTGGCAATCCTGACCTCAGACAAAGCAAAAGCAAAAACAGATCTAATTAAAAGAGATAAAGAAGGAAACTATACCCTGCTAAAAAGTACCATTGATAATGACACTGAAGTAAAGTCATTACTAAACATAAATGCACCAAATGGTATAGCATCCAAATTCTTAGAGGAGAAGTTTGGGGAGTTACAGGAAGAAATAGACAGCAAAACCATACTGACGGGGAAATTCAATCACCCCTTCAAAGAACAAGATAAACCTAACCACAAAAAATAAACAATTAAGTTAAGGAGGTGAACAGAATTTTGGAAAAGTTAGATATGATAGACCTCTGGAGAAAACTGAATGGGGATAGAAAGGAATGTACCTTTTTCTCAGTGTTACATAGAACCTATGAAGGATGACCATGTATTAGGGCATAAAAACCTCACAATCCAATGCAGAAAGGCAGAAATATTAAATGTATCCTTTTCAGATCATGATGCAATAAAAATTACATGTAATAAAAGGCCATGGAAAGACAGACCAA